TCAGGTTTGAGCACAAACATGTTTCCACCAGTAATGCCTTAAGATTTCTGACAGCGGACTGCTACTTTTATTTGTTCTCATGCTCCTATACACAAGCTATATATATAATGCTCATGAAAGTAACTCAAAGATCTAACAGAATAGATTTTAAATGAAGAAGCAGAATTTGCATGTTCAGTAAAACACTTCTGCTATGCAGGTTTGTATTTTGATGTGTAAAACCTGTCATATTTCTGGGTTCTCTTGGCTTACTTTTGGCCCTTCTGCTATCTATATTTGGTATATAAAATCATGAAAGATAGTGTTTTATTAGCAGCAGAGACCAAGCCCCAATATTGCCTCTGTTTTTTGGGCCATTTTAGTTCATGTTTGCCTGCTAGTAGAAGTATAGGTGGTCTGGTATTGTTTTTCAGAAAACTGCAGCTCTTGCCTCTGAAAAACAAGAAGAGTTTTTGTGAGGAGCTCTATGGTTATGTTTCAGATATATTTTGGTTAAAATTAATACAGCAGTAGAAAATTGATACTGCTTCTCCAAACACAAGCTGATAATTTATATTGGTAAGCAGCAGAGGCATTTACCCCTTGTGATTTAAAAAACCTTTATCCTTTCTTTAGCCAAGAATTTAGGCAGCAGATAAGTGTCTGTGATCCAGCAGGTAATTTTGCAGAATGGCAAAAATCTTGCATTTGAATGAAATGCTGAAATAATTCAAAAACCTCAGATTCATAATGGATTCTTTTTCATGTGATAGAGGTTTATCTTCACATTGGAGGGAACATAAATACAAGGCAAGTAGGTATTTGTCTCATTCTGTGTATTGTATATAGACAGAAGTCATTCCTCTTGATTAAAAAAAATAAATCTTTCAGGCCTCTTCTTCCAGGAACAGATTGAGTAAACTACTTATCTGCTTTGTTAAATGCCTCTATTATAGAAATAGTACCAAAAATTAATGTTGTGTTGCATTCCACTTCAGTATGACTTCTGTAACGTTGCTTTGCTTGCCTCAGAGACCCTGCAATCCTGGATAGCCTGGATCTGACAGAGGAAGAGAGACGTGTATTGATTGACAATATTAACAGACGTCTCACACCTCAAGCAGTCAAAATCCGAGCTGGTGAGTTTTTTCCAGATGTTACTTGAACACATATTGATCCTCAAGTCAAACCACGTAGTGGTTTGTAATGCTGATATTTGAGGGAAACTGCTCTGAATTAAGACAACTTAATCAAGGATCGCTTGCAAAATGTCCATCTGTGTTCTGTCCCAAAGTGCAAGGTGGTTTGACTTTTTTTTTTTTCTCCCTTAACTGCAGATTCTTTGGTAGACAAAGTAGTTGTCCTGATATATAATACGGTCTATCATCTTGCACTGGCACACAGTGAATTTAAATGTTTGTAGTTACTACTGCATCCGCAATACTCTTTTTCATTATTCAACGTCTTAAATTTGTTGATCCCCTAACAGAATGATTGTTTTCTGTCAGCATGGCTACAACATATGTCATAGCCACTTGTCCATGAACATGTGAAAATAGTCTACACAGTATTCTATGGGTAGCTTAGTCTTGCACCATTGTTACATGTGTAAATAAATCTTTGTCTCTAAACTAATCAGGGTATTACAGATATGGCCAGCATTAGCCTGTGCTTTAATTTCCAAACATCTACAAAAATATATCTACAAAAAGGTAACTAACATTACTAATTACTAATTTTTTAATTATATATTAATATAATTTACCTTGAAAAAAATAAAAATCCAGTGCTCCTCAAGTGCTGACTCTATGCCTCTGTTTTAATTGCTGACAGAATTATGTGAATTTGTGGATGTGCTCTTGTTTCAAGGTTCATTTTTCCTGAGCTTTAATTTTTTATGGTATTTATTGCTTCTATATCTTCATCTCTCTATGTGAAATACATAATTATTCCAGATGAATTTATTGGGTGAGAGGTAAGTGAAGGTAGGCATATAATTCCGTATCTTGGCTTTTCCAAGCACAATGTAAAATGTACTGTGTCTAAAGAATTTATGAAGTCTTTTCACCTCAACTTACAAGTCAAGAAAGTGAAATACCTTCCTCAGCTTTCGGAGCTACTGAGGCTCTCGTTGTGAATAAACACTGGATGCCAAAAAGCTTTATCCAAGCTTATGTTAAAAAACTTTAAAGATTCTAGAGCTTTTGGTAACTTTTTATGGTTAGTTTTATGTATTTATTAAGTTTTATTATTTGTATTCGTCTGTCCTAGATATTGAGGTGGCCTGTTATGGTTATGAAGGCATAGATGCAGTAAAAGAAGCTTTGAGAGCAGGATTGAACTGTTCCACAGAGAATATGCCCATTAAAGTAAGTGTCTGTTTTAGCAGTGAAATCAAAAGCTGTTTTCCAGTGCCTTCGGGTACCAGTAGCATGCAGTTGCCATTGTCACAATCACGTAGCTGAGGCTGAGAAGCCATGTACTTGCTTCTTGATTCTTCTCTAGCAGGTCTGTAATGTACTTCCTATCAGCTGTGTGCTGACAGTTGTTCCTGTGCCTGTGCTGTGACTTCCCAAGTTCAAGAAGCTGTATTTATTCTGTTCTCAGAATCACAGAATCATTAAGGTTGAAAGGGACCTCTGGAGATCATCTAGTCTAAGCCTCTTGTCAATGGATTAGTTCAATTTATTCAAGCCTAGTATTTGCACTCTGCATACCTACTGTTCCTTAGTGCAGCCTTAGGTAGGGAGCAGTAGATTTTATTTTCAGGTACAAGATTATGTAAGAAAAGAAGAAACATGACAACTCTCATATGTTTGACTATTGGTAGAATGGCTACTGTACCCAGGCCTAATTCTTCTTCCCCAACAATTTCAGGATACTGATTGTATTACTGAATAAGTGTTTTCAAAAAAAACTTGAAAGAACTTCCTTCTTTGAAAATTATTTGTTGTATTGGTTTCTTATAACAAAAGGAAAAGTTTCCTTATTCAGTCATCTTTTTAAAAAAAAGTACTGGTTGCAGTTGAAAAATTGTTACAGGCTGTTTTACAGATCTGCAAAGTAGATATTCCTTCCACTTAACAATATTTGTTTAAATAAACACACCATGTAGAAATACCTGATGCTGATACTGTAAATCAGGCAGGCTGTACTGATTTCCTTGTCTGCTATTTCACTCCATATTGTTTATGCTTCTAGAAAGGGTTTTTCTAATGCGAAAATGTTATATCTTCTGTGAATTGTACATTCAGAAAAGTGTTGCTTGCTTTGTTTTCGGTGTTTTTCTCTGGTTTTATTACTGAATTTGCTTTTTAATTCCTCTCCCTCAAATCTGTACAATGTGATAGATTAATCTGATAGCCCCTCCTCGTTATGTGATGACTACTACAACACTGGAGAGAACCGAAGGACTGTCTGTTCTGAATCAAGCCATGGCTGTAATTAAAGAAAAAATTGAGGAGAAGAGAGGAGTCTTTAATGTGCAGATGGAGGTAAGAACACTTTTCATTCTAAAGTGTTATTTTTTAGCATTTTTAAAGTAGAGCAAGACCAGTACTGCTAGGCAAAATTTTAGCAAAAAAGTTTTAAAAAAACCTGAACTTTGTGTTCTTTAAACAAATGGCAAAAAAAAAAAAAATTACCTCATTTTCTGGTTTTATTGTGTGACTTTAGTATATATTTTATCTCTTGCTCCTTATGTGGAATGAGAGTCTGCAAATATATATGAAGTTTTCTTTATGACAGTTTACCATGTGTTCTGGTTTATTTTTGTTTTTTTCAGCCTAAGGTGGTTACTGACACAGACGAGACTGAGCTTGCAAGGCAGTTAGAAAGACTGGAGAGGGAAAATGCTGAAGTGGATGGGGATGATGATGCTGAGGAAATGGAAGCCAAAACTGAAGACTAAATGTTGTGGAATATTTGGAAGATAGACCGTATGACAAAGTAGAGACCCTATTGCAAACACTCTGGACTAAATGTTTCAAGTATTGAAAACTTCAAATCCAAATACTTGAAGTGTTTTCTGTTTTAAAAAGACCAAAATGTAAAAGGCTCTTCTAACTAACGTAATGCAGCAACTTACAGAAATTGGATCTTTTGAAAGGAAGGTGCCTAGTCAAATTCAAGACACAGATCTGGCCAGAAGGAGGTTGCCACCCCATGCTTAACATTTTTGTACATCACAATTCCTAACTGGTGACTACAGCTCAGTGCATCTGTTAATGATATTTTCTGGGAGCACCAAAACCAAGTGAGCTGAACAGTTCTATACAAAATGTGTTTGAGCAAATATTCAATAAATTTGGGCTATGTAACTCCAATAATTATTTTTCCCCCCCTCCTTTGTCACATGGCTTAGAGTGGTGTGAATGTAAAACCTGGAAGGGTATGACCAGCAGCTGATTCCCCTATAATAGCCAAAGGGCTTTCTTTTGTTTGCTTTAAATCAAGCCAAGAATGAGTGGAACAGAATGTTTCTCTTGCAAGTTTGTTGATGCAGACTTGTTTAAAAGAGCATTTCCTTTCTTTATTGTCTGCAGTTAAGGACTGAGGACTTGAAAACTTTAAAAATAACTTCTTACCATTCCAATAAACATAGCTAATAAATGAAAAATTACATAAAGTTGTACTTTTCTCCTATAGGTGAATACAGCAGGAGCTTTAATGAACTTGCTTATACTTCAAAAAAAGCTGTACTGGCCTCTAAGCTCACTGCTGAATGACCTTAATTTCTGCCCACCCTAAGTCTGCTTTACACTGGGCTGAGCTGTTCACTGTAGAAGCAACCTCTTTATCTTCTCTGAAGAAAAGAAATAAGATGTACTTTCCATGTTGGAGTATGAAACAAAATTAAAAATCCTGTTTCCTTGTCTGTGAGAACGGGCAGGTGGAAGGAGGTTGTTTTTGTAAACAAAAAACCTTTCAAATTGCCACATTTTTAAATACATCTTTTTTTATCATTGTGTTGCACATCACCCGTCCCATTTTTTCTTAGTATTTTGTGCTGCTAAAGGAAAAATGCATGGAAAATGAGCCTTAACTAAGAATCCTTACTACTGCCACAGTACGAACAGTATCATTGCTCTATGGCGTTGCTACAAAAGGCATTCATAAAGGATATATGCATTGCAATTCATGCTTGATTATTAGGGTTGGCTACTGTTATGGTTTAAGCCCAGCCATCAATCCAGACCCACGCAGCCATTAGCTCACAAACTGCCCCCCTGCTCCCAGAGGAATGGGAGAAGAATCGACAGAATGTAACTCCCATGGGCTGAGATAAGAACAGTTTAGTAACTAAGGTATAACACAGATCACTGCTGCTACCATCAATAATAATAATGATACAGGAAATAACAAGGGAAGAGAATACAACTGCTCACCACCCGCTGACCGATACCCAGCCCTACCCAAGCAGTGATCTAGCCCTTCCAGGTAACTGCCCCCAGTTTATATACTGGGCATGACGTGCTGTGGTATTGAATACCTCTTTGGCTAGTTTGGGTCAGGTGTCCTGTCTCTGCTTCCCCCTGGCTTCCCCTCCTCCCTGGCAGAGCATGAGACTCAGAAAGTCCTTGGTCAGAGTAAACATTACTGAGCAGCATCTAAAAACATCTGTGTTATCAGCGCTTCTCCCAGGCTGAAAGTCAGAACACAGCACTGCACCAGCTACTAAGAAGGAGAAAAATGACTGCTACTGCTGAACCCAGGACAGCTACATGTAAACTCTGATAGTAATGCAAAGCCAAGAAGGTTAAATAATTTCTTTACAGAATGCAAGAAAATATCCAGATGTGTCACAACAAAATGAAGAAATAATATACTTTTATGGTTATTTTCTCAAAGCATTGCCTTTTCAGAAGCTGCTTATGACAGTCTTGTCATGGCTTGAAATTGTGATAATGTCAGTTTCCTGTTTGAACAGCTCTTCCAGCTCTGCCCATTCACTAGAAGTGTTTTGGATTCCATTAAACACAGTATGTGAATACTCAGACTGAAGAACAAAGCATTTGCAAACAGTCACCATGTGATCTCCATGCCAAAGTAATGCTGTAAAGGAAGGCACTGAAAAATGAGCCACGCCTGCTATTTCCTTTGAGTGCTCTCAAAGTGTTCAGATTAGTATAATCTCCATAGATGTTGTGTTACACAGCTGTTCTGGTGTGTTCCTAAGTGAGAGTTGTTTCTGTCAGTAACTTAGGACAAGGTTTGCTGAACTTTTTTTAAAGTTTGCTGAACAGTGTTTTCATGAGCTTTTCTAATTGGAGCTCAGCATGCTGGTGAACATGGTTCTGGGTCAGTTTTGAGTGCCTGAAAAAATGACCAAAATGGTGAGGGTGGTAACGAAGCAGCTGAAGATAAATGCATGTCAGTCACTTGTTACCCTGGCAGATAAAATCGGGCTCTCCCGTTGCCTGAACACGTTCTAATCAAGAAGCTTAAACGATGCAAGACAACTTAGTGGATATTTCTCATGAGTTGCCGTAAGTGGAAGGAGGAGGTCTAAGGTGGCTGCTTTCAAGTAGGTGTAAGGGAGAACTGAACCTGTGAAGCTCATGCTGGGCCTCAGCTGTGCTGCATCTGTTGCTGTAGCCCATGACTTAAGGAACTTTAGAAGTTCCTGAGGTGATACCTTCTATCTCAACCAGTCTGTTTGGTATGTGTGGAACTGCATTTGCTTACCAGTTGCTTAAAATAAGGGTTGTGGGTTTTGCGTGAATGCCTTTGCTGAAGCAAGGTAGTATATTCCTGCTGTTCATTAGAAACTGTGCTGTTTACTCAATTGTAATTGCAAAGCCAAAATCTCCACTAGCACTCAAGTAGTCAACTGAAGGGAAAGGTAGAGGTGTATCTGTGGAGAGGGCTTGGCCTGGTGTAGTAATTGTAAGGATCTCAGTATGATTTTCATATCCCAAATGAATTTTGTCAGATTGGCAGCTTGGAAATAGCTTTACTTATAACATCTGATAACGACTCATTAATACAAAAAAAAACCCCAAGCAACCAGGGGTACCAGCTCAGGTCAGGCACACAGTCTGGTAACACACAGTAGTCTGTTCCTCATGATTGCTGCTAAAAAAGGGGTGCCCTGCTTTCTTGGGGCTGTTGTGATCTGTCAGGCTTCCAATCCAGTGACAATTCCTTGCTGTTTTCTTTCCAGTTCTGGTGCTCAGGTGTTTTTTTAGATGTGGTGGAGATGGCATGTTGTTCTTTATAGAGGAATCTGGACTTCAGTATTGAATTTCTGATAGCTTCTTGTTCCAGTCTAGACAGTTAACTGTTTTCAAACAGTGCCACCTTTCTACGTGTCCTGCTGTTAGATCAGAATTCTTTTGAACACTTGTCAGCTTTCATTTTTATCTAGAAATATTTTGTCATTCCTCATTTTGGTGTGGTTTCTTTTCATCTTTTTTCATCCCTAATCCTACACCAGAGGGCAAAATCTTAAGAAACCGCTTTGAAAAAGCTGAGTATATGTAATCGCCCATGTGACACAATGATACATGATGGGCTTTGCAGAGCGTGGGATGGGGTTGTCCTGTGGACAGGTTCTCTTCATCAGTTGTTCATGGCTTCCTGAGGAGTCCCTGTACCTGGAAGTACCAGCCCTTCCCTCTAACCATGAATACTGTCCTGCGGTCCTGAAGCCTGCAGCTGTCTCTTCCAGGCCATCCCTAAAATCCTAAGATCCTAAAGCATATATAATATTTTGGAGACAGTTTGAATGGAAGAAAACATCAAGCACTCAGCTGTGCTCTTTTATTAAAACACTGCACTGATGTGTGGGAAGCATTCTAAAATGGATCTGATGAACCAGATACTCCCTTCGGTGAGTTTCCAGACCCACAGAAGACTTGATACAGCTCTCCTAGGTTTATACAGATGGAAACATGTCCTTTTCCACCAGAATACTTCAATACCAGAACTTGCCTTCCCAGCACATGTGTGGAAATGGCAGCCCAGATCTACTGACTCATTTTTCACTATCTGACCCTGAAAGATCTGTATTTACTCAGGCTCAGGGAGCAGAATAGGAGCAGTTTGTTAGCCACGATTAACTACAGAATGAGACAAGGGAAAGGGGGTGTGTGTATGGTAAATATCCAAAGAATTGAAGAAATACTTTGAGGTATTGAAGAAAGTGAAGGCTCTAGATTATAAGAAGTAGTTGATGCAAAACTTTTTGCTTAATGAGCAGCTACAGCAGCATTTGCTTCACCTTTCACCAGCAGTTTGACAATAAAACTCTTTGTTGTTAATGGTAATTTTCCCAAGATCCACCTGCAGGGTTGCGGGTGGTCTGCACGCTGGAGAAAAAGCTCACTAGGATCTCGGGTGAGGACTGGTTGTGGTGCAATGCTGAGATCACTGTCTGCGCCAGAGCGCCCTGCAAGCTTCTACCTGTACTCACTAGCATGAAATTATCTCACCCACCTTGTTATAAATTGCCTGCAGTAACAAGCTTGAACAATGTGAAGTCAAACCTCAAATACCAAATGGGGGAACACTGTATTCCTGAAGCTGGCTGTATAAAGATTGCATGTCCAGTGCATGTAGCAATAATGAATGTCTCTTGTGTACCTAGACTCAAGTTTTCTTCTTTTTTTCTCAAGTTAAATTCTGATGTAGAGAACACTGCGAGCTGAAATTTATATTCTTTTTTCCTGCTGACCACAGTGGGTTTTTTCCCAAGACTCTGCTTCTGAGTACAGCTTTTTATTTATATGTATATTTATGTATTTGCACCAGGACAGAGATTATTTTTTAAATTGAAAGAAATACACTCAGTTCTTTTTCTGCTTTATTTTTTAAGGCCACAATACTATATAAAAAATATAAATGGAAAATTTGTATGTTTGTAATACTACATACCTGCTGCAAAAAAAATACTCCTCTAGGTGTTCTGTTAAACTTACTGTACTTAACACTAGGTAGACTGAAAAACAAATTTAACCGGGATATGACTTACGCAGCCGGTTGCCTCATGGCTGCCTGTTTTCTCCCAAGTGGTGAAGGGAGTACAGTGGGAGCTACACAGGTAACTTCCACATGGGATGGCTGTTTTTGAAGTCTGGGCGAGCATGCTTTCTCTTTATACAGCAGTCAATTTCTCGAACTTCAAGTAGTGTTCAGTCACCCACTGTCTTTCTCATGATCTTTGCAGGACTGTTCTCTGGGTTGTCTCCAGCACATTGTCAGGTTTGGATTCTTCAGTGCTTTGCTCTTCCTTACTAGAAGTGATAAAAAATATAAAAATAAATTATTAGTTTGTTCCTTTCCTTGGTACATGAAAGCAGTAATTAGATCTGGTGTGCAAAGAGATATTTGAGTCACTTTATCTTGCTGAACTCTGAACACTTTTTACATAGCAACGACTGCTTTTGTTTATTTGTTACCATCTACATCATGTTTCTTATCACAGCCGCTAGCTCTGCCCACATATATCACCTAGATTTTGATACAAGTCAGGGAATGCTAACATGACAGTGAAGATTATTACTCCTGCACAGTTGGTATTGATTTCTTGAAATACCAATACTGGCTTATTTCATCGGGACAAGATCTGCTAGATCTGTCACACAGGTTTATCATGGCCAAAGTCTTAAAAAATGCAATGAATATCTACACCCGCATTCAGACAAACAAAAGGCACTCTGTTTCAGAGGTGCCCAGGAGTTGCAAGAGGTCACTGAATGGTGTTCATTGGTCAGACTGCTTTACAAAAAGCCTGAATAGTTGCTTAGGTGGGGACTTAAGGTGTTAATTTGGGAATCTTAGGGTTTGTGCCCAGAGGTCACTGGAAGCAGAGTGGTGCTTTAGAACTTCTTTTGTAAAATTAATTTCTAGAAAAAAAAAAAATATTTTAAGGTTTGGAAAAGTCTCCCTGTAATCATAATATTCTATGTGTTATATTTAAGGTGTTCTGTGGGACCCTATGAGGATAAATTTATGAGAAATTTTAAGAGGTAGTCTTGATTAGTCTGAAGTTTTGAGACGTGATTTTATGATTCTGCTTCTCCTTCCCATGCAATACCTGGTTTGTCATCATGTGGCTATTTATATTGGCCAACTCACTCAGTGGTGGGTTTTGCTATACTGAAGTCTGAAATTCTGAGATCCTTTTTAGACTTTCCTTTGTTTCACTTCCCAGAGGGCAGGTAATGTATCAGAGCCGGTTCACTGTTTAACTGGTGTCTCATAGGTAGGAAGAGAGGGAGAAAAAAACAGGGAAGGGAGGCGGCGTCACATTGGAGGAGGAGGGTACTAAAGAAAAATGAGCTTTCTTAAACAAATCGCACGCAGAGGGACACGTTGCCAGGGCTTGGGCACCAAGCGCCCGGGGCTCGGCTCTCTTCCCTGCTGGCCACGATGCAGGAAGCAGCAGGAGTGCTGAAGGAGGGCTTCCTCGTCAAACGGGTGAGTGTATCCGTCCCCTTCCGTGGAGACCTGCTCCAGCGTGGAAGCAGCCTCTGAGCAGGAGCTAGATTGAGCCAGGGCTCATGGCAACGCAGGCACTGGGTATGAGGGGCTCCTGCCTGCTCCTGGGAAAGAAGATCCTTCAGGTCTGTGCACGTGCCTGGTGGGGGAGCTGCACGAACTGCAGGTGCTCACTAACTTCCCTCGAGTTTCCCTCTATTGCCCCTGTTATTTACTCCGGGGGAAGTGAATTAGCCATCAGCATTACTCGGGGATCAGAATGCCATTGTGTCTGTGCTTCTGCAAGGGGCACTTAAAAAACTACCAGCAAATGGCTACGTGGCAGCAGTGGAAGTGGCCACAGGAAGATGGAGAGAGGGAAGGTGATTGTGCCTTCTTCAGTGACCCAGCTGAGCCATGTTTCCCGTTTTGTGTGAGGGGATGGAGAACAGGCTGTTCTGTTTGAAGGGGATCAGAGCAATGGAAACACAGAAGTGTGTTTGAAATAACTTCTTTTTACCACACCCCTCAAACTGCACTGTAAGAAAATTTTAGCCAAAGCATGGAGAAGAGAGCTGAAAGATGGTGTCACACGTTTCAGACTTTCCAATGCTTCTCCCTGCAGGACCAAGAACCTGTTTCAACGACTAATATGGTCCTTGATTGCACACCAAAAAATTTAATTAGTTCAAAGCTTTGCCACGCCTCAGGAAATGCTTTTCTGCAGTACGTGGCAGTGCTTCTGGTGCTGACATGAAGGTAATCCTGGTCAGGAACCTTTCTGGCAGCGCTGGCCAGCCAGCAGCCACGTGAAGCCATGCTGTATACAGAGAAGGGTTGCACAGCACAAGCTATTCCTCATCAACCCTTGTGCAGTGAGGACAGAGCATTCCCAGCTCCTGGTCTCTTCTCTGGGCCATGGTTATATTTTGTGGCTCTTAAGTGACTCCTGAATTCAAGATGGGAAGCCAAGGCACCAAGTGTGTGAGAGGAATAAGTTGTTGGCAGCACACTGAGCTGTAACTGCTCCACAGCCTGCACAACATCACCGAGACACACAGTTTGATAGGAGGGAGGCCACAGAGAAGATGACAAAAGGGAACTGGGGGAGAAGGGGACAAGAGATCCTGAGAAAAAAAAATGAGGAAGGGGTGGGATCAGGTAAAGGAAAACAGAGGTGTTTTAAGAAGAGAGCAGAAGCAAGGAGATTATCTAAATGCATTATAAATGTCTGGATTATGTATTGTAATGTATTATAAAGTAAATGTGTGGAAGTCAGGTAAAGGTAAAGGAAAAAAGGTAAGGCAACCTCCTGAAAAAGAGGAGGTCTCCAAAAAGGAAATCGAAGAGCCATAGCAAAGAACATACTCTCAGGGAAAATGAACATGGGACTTTACAACAGGTGAAAAACAAAAAACCCAAACCACTGAAGAATGCAAAGTGAAGGGGAGAACAAATCCAAGTTAGATAAATTGTACTTAGTATAGACTAAAAGGCATCAGACAGAAAGTGCCCTGGATTTTAGAGGCTTTTTACCCCACCTTTTCTTGGAAATCGTTGGGGTTCCTCTTTACTCATAGAGAACTAATGAGCTTTGACTCCTGCCACAACTGGACTTTGCATGTTCCTTTCTTTTAGCTATGCCCACCCTCTCTCAGGTCTGAGCTTCCTCTACCCAGTGGTTCACCTGCTGGTTGCAGTGCTCCACAGCCTGTAGAAACACAAGTGAACCTCTCGCACCAGGAAGCTGGACCTGACACTTCCAGACAGGACTGAGCCAGTTGGTGTCAGCCCTCTCTGGGTTTGCTCTCCTGTACTGGCAAACTAAAGAGAGCCGGGGGCTGTTTGCAGAGGTGAAAGAAGGGATTTTTGTCTGTATTCTGACATAACCCAGGAGGCATCTGACAGCAGCCTTCATTCGGTCTTTTGTCATTGAAAAGTATGTCTCCTTTACAGGAAACGGTAACACAGGGAATGGTCTAGCCCTGGAGACTGGAGGCAGGTAGGATAGAAATAAATCACTTATTAGCAGTAAGAGGGGATGTAAGGAAAAGCCAGTTCACCCAGGAAGGTGCTCTCAAAACCACCTACAGGCACATCACAATGACAGAAAACAAAACACATCAAACACCACCCAGGGTCTCTGGAGAGGAGGAGTTTGCCTCCAAAAGCCCTCACACATTTCAGATTTACCCTATTCCTGCCTGGTGCTGTCAGTGGGCAGGCATGCTCCTAAATAACACCTCTTTGGGATGATTCATGTGAGCTTCTGCAAGAAACAACTCTTGCCAGAAAAGAAGATGTTCTTGCTGGAGAAAGAGAAAAGCATCTTTCTATTGCTCCGTGATTTTATAGTGATGGAGCTGTGCTGCTTTGTTACTAAAAATGTGTATTTATTTCAGTGAGAACAGGACTCATGCTGATTTCTTGTTTCTTTTCGTACAGTTTCCTACTTTTTTATGGTATTTCCACCTCCCCAAAAAAGGAAAATATGGTAATTTCTCAATGCTTGTGTTAAAGTTAGCTATGTGATTCTTCCCCTCTAGGGACACATTGTTCGTAACTGGAAAGTGAGATGGTTCGTTCTGCTTCAGGATAAACTGCTGTATTACAAAATTGAAGGAGGCAAGAAGGAACCTTCTCCAAAGGGCAGGATCCTTTTAGATGGCTGCACTATTACTTGTCCATGCCTGGAATACGAAAACAGACCGGTAGGAGTGGAAAAATGTATCCCTTCTCAGTGGCACTCACTTTCTAACTTCTCCCTAGAATTTTCCTCTCCTTTTGACTTCTTTGATTATTGCAACCATATCACTGGGGTGTTTCCAGAATTAAGCGCAGCCAAAAGCAAGCTGCCGTTAGCAACGTAACCAGGACAAGCAATGAATTCCCCCATTGTGTCTTTGCTGTTCTCTGTGCCCAAACCTGAGTCATAGACATTAACAAAAAAACAAACCCACCCCCCCACACACACATAGTGGTAAGAATAAATGCAAATTCATCAGCCCAGCAGTGTGTGGAGAGAGGACATGGACAGGTCAATAAAATCTGAGGAGAATGGGAAAAAAGGGAATTTTGTGTGAGAGGGAAATATTTAATCTATGGTGGTTGCCTTAAACCCCGGCTGTGTCTATGGGATGCTCCCAGGCATCCAGGACAGACTGCTTTTTCCTTCTCCAACGGGACATTGCTGCTGTGGAGTTTCCACCAAGAGGGTTCCGGAAGGGAAGCTCCTCCTGAGCTGCTCCGCTCACCCGTGGGTAACAGCAATGCAGCCTTCCTCTGAATGGGGACAGAAGGGAAACGACTCTGGAAGTTGCTGGCTATTTCAGTACTTCTCATAGCAGAAAGAGCCTAGTGAGAGTTCATAGTTGTTGAGAAACTAGAGATCTGAATGTGAAAAGCTCCATAGTCAACATCACATTCCTGTGTAATCCAGCATCTGGGTGGTCTGTTCTCTTGTAAGTACCACAAGCTCCATGCATGCAGACTATGCTTGGAACTGAAAACACAGGAATCTGCATTGTGCCCACCGTCCTTGTGGCCAAGAGTTGCTCTCTACTGCTCAGGTGGGATGGCACGTCAGACCTACTTGTGTCACTTAATGCACGTGGAGGACAATAGCTAAATGATGTTATTGCTTTGCACTTCTGTCTCCACAGCTGCTCATCAAGCTAAGGACAAAAACCAATACAGACTATTTCCTTGAATGTTGCTCCAGGGAGGAGCGAGACTCTTGGGCTTTGGACATCACAGGAGCTATTCATGCTGGTCACCCAGTACAGGTACAAGAGCTTCACAGAATGAAGAACTCTTTTAAACTACTAGAGAATATCAGCCTCCAGTAAGTGTATATGGTTTATTCTTCTGCTGTTGCTGTAGTTCGCAAAACACCCACGCCAATGTATGGAGAGGGTCAAGGGAAGCTTCTCTCTGCACAGATTCGTTCCTGTGCTGCCAGGAGCCTCTAAACTGGTTGCTCTGCCCTAGGTTTGCATATACTCTTGCCAGAGCATGGTTACTTTTGGGACTATATGGCTTCTGCACAGACATCTCACTGCTGGCTTGAAGACCTTCCTAGTCAGCTGCCAAGGTTCTCACTGGGGAGATGTATTACCTCAGAAGATGTAATACCAGGGAAAGACTGAATGATGACATTGCTCATGCCATGCTGGTGAGCTTTCAAAGCTGGTAGCTGGTTTCCAGACTAGGATTTTTAGGGTGCATGATGTTAAACAAGAGAAAACAGAGAACTGGCTAAGAAGTAGAAAGATGACACAAATTTGGTTTGTGTTGAAAAGGTAAATGGAGGTTGACTATAGCTCAGTTTGAAATGCTTTAAATTGAAAGTTACTTCATGAGGCATCTTGTTTAGTGCTGCTATTGGGAGAATAAAGTTTTCCTATACTGTACTTAGGACAAAACTTCTGGGTGTACACCTAGGCTGTTTCCCATCTTTGTGTTGGTAATTGAGAGGACATCCCAGGCACTGACAGAAGTATGTGGCAATTTCTGCCTGTTTTTTTTAATTCTACTAACTTTGTCTTTTGCTCTCCTTTGCAGCCACATAGTGGAGAGAATGTGTGACAGCAGTACTGGAATTAAGCTAACCCGCAACTTGCAACAAGGCAACAGATACAAAGAGACTTTCACAGGTACACCTACTGCAGGCAAAGAGCTTCCTCACATCTAACACACTACATTGCAAAGACAAGGGAGCTACTGTGCTGCCTGCATAGTGGAATCAGTGGTGGTCCAATGGAAAGTAGCTGTACAACCAAGCTTTCCAACACCTTTCTCTCATGATTTTTGGATATATGGAAGCACACAGGACCCCACACTTTCTGTCAACCTTGCACTTAATTGGCAGTCTTTGTGATAGTGCCAAAATATTTCAGCAAATGAAATGTAGCAGTAGGCTATTTGTCTCATCTTGGAAGAGTACACTGCGTTGATATGAGAACTGCCTTTCTCCCTGCAGGTTCTGCCCTGGTGGACTGGCTCATCTCCAACAGCTTTGCTGTGTCACGATTCGAGGCCATCACCTTGGCATCCATGCTGATGGAGGAGAACTTCATCAAGCCCGTGGGAGCACGCAGCACTGAGGCCACACGCTTCAGCGACCTCTCTGAGCAGTTCCTTGATGACTCTACCGCACTGTACATGTTTGTAAGTGATGCAGCTGCCCACAGAAGCACCTCTTCATCACATACTTGATTTGGGCAGTGGTAAAGGGGACACACACAGTGTGCAAAGGCTGTGAAAGCAAACAGAGAAGGAGCAGCTGTAGGCCTTTAGGAGCACCAACACTTGCACTTTTGCTGGAGACAAATAGCTACATGGGTATGGAGGGATCTACAGATTACATAATTGGGCATTAAAAGGGTTGTGTCCCTCGAGTGCAGTGCTGTGTCTACATTTAACAGAGGCTGTAGTTATGCTCAAGGCCACAGTGTAGGCTTTACAGCTGTAATTTGTTGCTTGTAAATCTTGGAGCTACAAAGCTGAGCAGCAGGGGTACAGTGTAGAATTTACTGAGGATATATAAACTAAAAGCAGGTCAAAGAAAATAAAATGCAGAACTTTGTACTTAAAAGTGTGTTCAGGTTCAACAGAGAAGCGGAACCATCTGTTGCCTATTTTGCAGGCTGAGAGCAGTAAGAAAAATATCAGTTCCAAGGAAGAGCTACAATTTAATATCTCTGAATTAAGCGGCACCATTGTGAAGCAAGGATTTTTAGTGAAACAGGTAAATACCATCTTTGAACCTTCACTGGGAAACAAGAAAAATGACAGCTCCTAGGGCTTTCTAGAGGACAAACATGATTTATACAAGCACGGCTGGACAGTTGTGGCCAGCAGAGCTAATTTGCCTGTCAGTAATACTGTCACAGCTCATGTGGTGAAAAATGTCTAGTTGTAAAGGAATGAGCTATGGAATTTGCTGCTCAAGCAGGATTAATTGGATATTCTGTATATATTGAGTCTATACTGAAAAGTATAAAACGGTATCAAAAGCAAAAGTCCCACACAAAGTCCAAACGCCACTGGAGGCGTTATATGCACTTCCAAGCAGAAGCTCTGTTCCTCTGGTCAAACCTGTCCCATCCAGGTCATGTGAGTAGCTATGGAATTCTGCTGGCAACAGACAAATTTCAAAGCTGAGTAGATTGACTTTTACATGAAGTGGACACTTACCTCTGTACAGTCACTCACATACACATGTGAGCTCTGGTAGTAGTGAGAGTTGTTTTCTTTGGCCACAAGAAAGTCCTCTTTACAGGATCCCACCTCTAGGCTGCAAGACTTGATTTTCAACCCTTGCTATGAAAAAGACAAGGATCAGTCATGCTGTTTCAAAGCATAACGCAGCCACCTGCAGAGAGAAACCTACACTAGTAGCTCCACTACTCTAGAGCTTTGTACCATGAGCTGTGATTTTAGTGTTGTAAAAACTGGATTATCAGATGTATTTAACCTGAAATGAAAAGAAGGAATCAGGGATATAATCGCTTGGTCCTGTCACTCTCTTTTCTTGGTTCTTAGCACAAGGAAGGGAGAGAGGAAGGAATTACCAATGTATGAAGAAGGATGTTAAGCAGAAAATCCTGGGAATTACCAAGATGTCAGAAAAGATTTTTCTCTGTTGGCTCCAAAACCTCTTATTTTCAGTACCTATTTAGGTGTCCCCTACAGCCTGCAGGGAAATGGTCATTTCAGGGGATATTTACTGTTGGTAACTTTAATTCTTCTGTTTTGCAGGGACACAAGAGGAAAAACTGGAAGGTGAGGAGATTTGTTTTGAGAGCTGATCCTGCTTTTTTGCACTACTATGACCCTACTAAGGTAGGTAAGTGGGGATTTGCTACCCCCAGATATCCTCTTACAGACCTGAACATTATAATGAAAATACAATCATGCTGTAGATGTTTCTCATACTCAAATCTCCTTCTAGGTTCCTCTCTCCATTTCCTGGGGATTAAGACCTCTCTTGCCTTACCCTGGGAGATTGTCCTTGTAGGATTTTCTATTCCTATATCTTCCATCCTGTCTTTCCCCAGTGAGATTCCTTTTCCTTAGCCAAGTCTTCTTGGGATTTGTCTTCTGCTGTACTTACACAGTCTGGGACTTCTTCCTGGGCTGTGATCTTTCTGGGCTGACATCCCACCACTTGAGGGTCATACTGCTACTGGGATTTTTCATTATTTTATTCCAACACTGGGGAGGGTCTTCTTGATGCCAAAGTATCTATAGGCATTACAGCTACTCAGTTTTAAACTTGCTCAAGGAATAGTAGAATTTATCTTAATGGATTTAATAATCAATGGGAGCAACCCAGAAGGTTCATCCACCCCAGGTGTATAGGGTATCCCAAAGGCCAACATGTTGCTAAAAGAACATGTATAGAAATGCTTTATGTGACTTTTTTAAGAAAACACAAACACCATAACAGTGAAAAGAGCTTATGGAGTGGGTTCACTTTCTGTTTCTTTGTGGGTTTTTTATTTTTGCACTGCAACTCACCCTTGTAATGTCATAAACTCAGGCTGCAGAATTTGAAGATCAGACAAGGGCACCAGCCTCCTAGAGAAAACAGTCAAATTTTTCCCATATATTTTTTCCCATATGTTTTCCCCTATGTTCTCAGTGAAAAGCAGCAGAAATATATATTTTAATATGGATTGTTATTGATAAGACTATACATAAGTTTAGAATGTGATTGTTATCCTACCCATGTGTTTAATTGATCTCCACCATTCCCAGATACATCAGGCAAACATCTAAGACTGAAACAACATATTAATGCATTTAATTACATGTCCTAATTGACTTCTCTTATAACATGGATGTTTTGTACCTGGAAAGACTGGTACTACATCTCCATCTTCATAAAATTAATTGATGTGCTCTTGGAAATAATTCTAATGATGATATTTTCCCAATAAGCCTGATTTCCTTTTCCTCTGCAGGAAGAAAACAGGCCAGTAGGTGGATTTTCTCTTCGTGGCTGTCTTGTCTCAGCTCTGGAGGATAATGGAGTCCCAGCAGGTAAGCATGAGCCTCTAAACGTTCATACATACATATTTATGCCATAGCAATGCAGTGTTTAGGTGTGGGTTTGTGTGTGGCTGCCTGTATGCACAAGTAGGCTGACCTCCCTTTCCCCTTTGCAAGCAGCGAAAGAGGCACATCATAAAAAATCCCCATACTGCTGGGTTGTCCACACCAGGAGGGATTTTTTTAGGGTTATTTCCACTTACCTTGGGTGTTCCCCTTCTTAAGGGCTTTTCTCAGTCAGATGACCTTTGAGACAGTCCTAAAACAATCATTAATATTCCAGAATTAAGAGACAAAGAGGAAACAGTTTCTTTTTGGATGTTGTTTAATGCAGTCTTGAGTCATCCCCTGATGCCATCCCTTTTCTGTGTTCTCTCTAATTATGCTATTACCTTTTCCTTTTCAATCTGCTATAACCCAAATGTAAGAGAAACCTAAAGACAGCAATACAAAAAACAGTTCTGCTAGTAAGTATGCTTAGCGTAGGCATTTGTCCAGAACTTTACCCTCACAGATAAGAGTTTCTGCTGTTAAAGCAAATTATTTTGACAGTAAGCACAGTGTGTGGATCTTAATTAGGAAACATGTTTCTAAAGACAAAAGACAGGGTCTGAAAAATATGAGGTGCAGGGGGAAAGGGGGCAAGAACAATAGAGCCCATTGCTAACAAGAACCCGAAGTTGGGCATAAGCAAATCTTATCTACTGCACAAACTGGTCAGGAGTTCATCCCTCCATGGTATAACTCAAGTAAGATTCTCCATTTAAACAGTGGCTATTTTATATGTGATGCATAGTGAACAGTAGTTCATACAGTCTATGTGAGGGGTGTCTGTACTATATCTTCATTTTGCAGAAGGGAAATCAAAGACACAAGAGCTATCTATAATGAAATGGAAAGGTCTGATATTCTAATTCACTAAATTAAAAATCTTCCTTATGAAGCTTCACATTCACCACAAGGCATTTCTCTGTGAGCTTCCTGATCTGCCATATTTTTTTCTCTGCAGGAGTGAAGGGCAACGTGCAAGGCAATCTCTTCAAAATCATCACAAAAAAAGACATTCATTATTACATCCAGGCCAGCTCCAAGGCAGAGCGAGCACAGTGGATTGAGGCAATCAAACCACTGACATGAGTAAGGTGGACTCCATGCCAAATGACGAGTCACATCTGTGACCAAGTTTCCTGCTCTCATTGTCTGTGACTGTTGTTTTGCTCTTAGATAGTCTATTCTTGTTATTTGTATTTCCATAGCACCCAGCAATTCCTGACAGACCAGCATCTTAGGTGCCTAGGAGTCATGTAGATCCAGAATAATTCCCCACCAAGAACTTAACCATCTAACAAAAGACAACAAGTGGATACAGGCAACAGGGCTTTACAAAGAAACAATGAGATACAATATTCCAAGGTGGAAGAAAATAATTACTTTTGTACAAGTATTCAGTCTATATTTGACAGATTCAGGTTGTGCTTTATCCTAAAGCAGAAATGCCTTGTTCCTTTCCCCTTTATAAAGGGGTTTATAAACTTAATTAGTTAAGACTGACTGAATCAAAGTCATGAAAGGTCCTGATGTCTAAGGCTGCCTTTCTTGGTATACACAAGAGCCTTGTGCTAAGCCACAATCCAGCTGCTAGGATAATCACTAATGCAAAACATACGAAGTGTCTGTCCGTCTGTCTGCTCTACCATTTGGTTCTCTGTTAGGTTGGAAAAGACCAAAGGATCTTCCTCTCCAGTATATAAATTATTCTTGTGCTGGTAATGTACAGCAGTACAGGATCCTGAGTATCAAAACAGACCAGTGGCAGTTATTCCAGACAAATGCCTTTGCTGAAGATATTGGATAAAATCACCCAGCCATAGAAATGAGACTTCTCCTCCTGATTATGACAGTAAATTCACTTATGTGGAACACCACTGGGACTAAGAGCTCCAATAGCAGTTAGGACTATTGCTTTTTCTATTTTAAGTCATTAAATCTTCTATTATTTGTCCTAATACTGACTTTGGTATCATTACATTTTTTTAAAAAGGTCAGTGCATTTGAATCTCCTGTGCTCTTTAAACATGATTTCTCAGAAGGCAGTTTGAATATATGAAAATGACAGTTTCATACATTGTAAATTTAGATTTTTATGGAAACTGAGACATTCTCCACAACACCAGAGAGTATAATGGAATGTATAAGATGATTAAAACACCTAACCAGCCTGCTGATACACTATTTTCATAAAATTCCTCATGTTATCTGAGTACCCATATCTGACAGCCAGACTCTGCAGAGACTCCAGAATCACTTGGAAGACAGCATGCTATACATCTTCCCTGAAGTCACAGGGGAATTTGATAGCCCTCTACCCGCAGAACCACCTCTTTGCAGATTTTTTGATCTCTAAGTTATGTACCAAAACCAAAAAACCTCTTAATTTAAAATCTTTTCCTTCATGTGTTATAACCAACCAATTATAGCCAAAGACAGCAGCTATAATATATGCTTCTGTATGTATTAAAATAGCCATGTATTTAGGACTTTTTTTTTTCTAAATATACAGCAATGAAATAACAGCACAACACTCACGTGCATTCAAATATTTAACAGACCTGGTAAAGAAGTTTGCCAGCAAAGATGCAGTTTTAATTAGGTATAAGAACGTGCAATGCAGTTTGAGCTACAGATACCATTTCCTAGGGCTGGTCCAAAGAAGGCTGTGAAATCCACAGCTGTTGAAAACTTACAATTCATGCTACCTGCAAGAGACAGGGGTGCTGGTAAGGCATTTATTGCTCTGTACTGGGAAGCACAGATGGCTTTGTGCTGATTGAGCAGAGGTCCTAGGAAAACCAATTCCTCCTGATAACGTGAACCCTACTGGGCCCACCAGGCTCCATTATTCACTCATATGAAAATCTCCTGCTTCTCTTTTCTCAGACCCACCATCTGTACACTGTCCAGTTCTAGTCATAGGGTAACAGCCACCCCATTTCAGAGGACTGAGCTCTGCCAGCTGACATGCCAGGGGGGTTAGGGGATGTGAGATACTGCATAGCATCGTAAATCTTGCAGTTTGTGAGGCCAAAAGAGTATCTCAGCAAAGGCTCTCTGATTTACCAGGAGAGTAAATCAGGACCAGCCACAGCTCTGCAACTGTTGAGTGTGTATGAGAAAAAAAGTGTATATTTCAAACACATCAGCAAATTAAAAAGATACGGTTCCGACTCTCCAGAATCAGCCAGGGGGAAAAGATAAAACATTTCTCAGACAGAAAAAAGTACATTTGCCTCTGTCCCCTGGTGATATTATGGTCTCTTTTTCTTTCAAGCCACTTTGGTAAGTTTGATGTCCCCTGAGATCTGCAAAGCTTTCACCAAGTTCAGGGGCTGAATGCGGTGAGTGAAGTCACAGAGCTGCCGTCCATCAAGCAAGACTCGTATTTGCTGATGTTCACATAAGAGCTCCATCTGCAATGGAAAAGGACAGGGGAGAGTGTTAGAGATCAGCATGAGAGTTGATTTTGCCGTCATGGACTTAGAACCCCATGTGATGGGGATAGTGAAGCACAAAGTCTACCCATTTTTCTAAAATGCCCTAATAAATAACCTACTCTCTGTTGAGATGATTCTGTAAAGCTCCTTATAGTGAGTTCTCTCTTTAAGACTAGAGAAGGGCTTGAAGTGTTGCTCTCTGTGTCATAGTAGACCACTTAACCCACCAGTATTAATAGTTAGCTATTTGTGATCATATATGTAGCCTTCAGCCTTTTTCTCCTCCTTTTCTCCATTCTATTCATAGTAGCACAAAAATTACCTTAAATGTGTCGCCTGCTGTAAATGGGAAGTAGGGAATAGTCTTCTCTTCTCTTCCCCACTTCCCAGCAATTCTTGCATTTCGGGTGATGGATTTGTCACTAAAGTTAACTGTAAATAACAGCCCAACATCTTTGTTTGCATCCACTGTATCACAGAGCAGTGTCACTGAAAAGCTGAAAAAAATACCAGTTAAACAACAGGGTCTTTCAGAAGGATAAAATGACATGGTAAACACAGCAGATGCCTGTAAAGACTAGAGACAGCCCTTGATTTCTTGTCATGCTGAAACACAGGACTTTTACAGGCTTAGAAGCTGCAGAAAGGTATGAGAACAGTCTAGTCTTTGTTTTTCCTCCAGTTTTCAGTAGGATGCTAGTGACTTTTGATGTTGCTTTCTCTCTCTTGTAACTAAAATCAAACGAACATTTGTGCATGAGCCAATTCTAAGTTGTGTCTTGAAAGAGGTTACAGCAAAGTCTTTACCAGTGGAAGCACTGAAGTTATCAAGGTAGCTGCAAGAAAGTGTAATCATAAGCATAGTTGCTGTCATCCTCATTAAACATAGCAATGAACCTGCACCTCCTGTGCCAAAACACATGAGTTTTTAAATGGTGATGATTCCAGCCCCCAGCAGATGATCAAGACAGGTTCAAGACTGCACCTCTTCCTGGAGGAGAAATGCCACTTGTGTGCCCCTCTGTTTTGCACTAGATAAGAGCAAGAAGCAGGAAATCCTGACAGGGCAGTCAGAAAGGCTGAACAGTGAATTCTTTCTTGCTCTTTTAATCTTAGTCTAAGAGCAGGAAAATTAAAGCTATAAATTATGAATCTGTTTGATTTTCTTCCTCCAAAGAGCACAAACTCTCAAGAAATCTTTTGAATTCGGAAAACAGGTAGGAGCATGTGTGACAGGGTGAACCTCCCACCAGCCCCTTTACCTACCTCTTGGGGTTGGAGTGCACCATTCCTATGACTGTGAGTTTCATGGCTGGTCTCAGGCCACCTTTAATTTCACCAACATAATGCTCCACCTGCAGGGAACAGTGATAGTGTGCTGCAGTAGGTGATGCTGTGGGTAAACCAGCTTTAACGGTTGCTTGGGTCACCTCATGTAATTTGATTTAATTTTTACATGTACAGAAGAATTCAAAAATATTTCTGGCCTTAAGTACTTCTGGCACTTTCAGTATAAATTCTGTCAGTTCTGGTATCCGAGTGAAGCAAGAAGGCTGCCATAAGTGAATGAATGACTGGTAATGAGGCATCGGCTGTCAGGACAAGACAGACAGCTCTGGTTGGGCAGTTTCTGACCAAAACTGCTGTCAGTAAGAACAGTGGCTGCTGTTGGAGCTCTGCCTGACTGATAGGTGGATGGCATGTCTCAGGTGGCTCTGGGAACAGCCACCACTGACTTTAGGTGACTGATGCCACTCCCCAAGACTAGAACAGGTACTGCAAGTGCTTCGGTGACCCACACAGAGTGCCAGGACCCCGACAGCTGACACATCTGGGATGAGCCAGTGATGGCTGCTCTGCTGTAATGATACAATAGATCTGGTTGCAGCGCTCCATGCGGCACATCAAAGGCTTTGTGGCAGCATGATGCAGAGGGCAGGTTCTCTGTGAACTAACTCTGCCAGCACAAATTTGTTAACAGCTTTCAGCAGGCTAACTTGACACCAGCAGGCTTTATACCAGGCCAGGTAGCCTCTGTTCTCCACTGTAAGAGCATGAAGCCAGCACAGATGATGCTGAGCCCCTGTGTGTTGACAGAAACACAACTTTGTCCTCACAGATGATCCCAATCATACCTGTTCCCATCCGTTTATATCAAAGCCATGTAGCTGCAAACTCCACCCAAAGATTAGAGCTGTATTTACTTTCCAAGTCCTACCCTAACAGCCTTGATGGTTGGTGGAGAAATTAATACAGGTAATGAGTGACAAGGAAAAATAAAAGAGAGATCTTGGAAAAAAGTGTTACAAATGATCTGAGACTTCAGTTGCAGAAATGGCTTTAAAATGTAAATGCCAGAGTAGTACACTGTAGCATGTAATCACTCCCTATGCAGATTCACTTAGAAAGAAGCTCCTATAAAACACTAAGCGTTATTAGCAATTTGCTTAGCACTGATAATATTTCAAGGCGATGCACAGCAGACCCTACTGTAGATAAAAAGTGTGTTATCGTTCCAGTGTTCCAAGGTAAAAATTCAGGCATTTTTTGCTAGAAGATCTGCGCAATATATGCATGGTTTAGTATCTTGACTATGAGAAGCACTACATCAGCATGGAAATCCACAGAAGTCTGCTCATAGTAAATGGCCTTCTATTCCAGTGTAAGTTGCTGTGGGTATTCCATACCCATTTTTAAATGTTGAAAAATATAAACAATGTTAGATTTTTACATTGTTGAATGCAACCTTGCTTACCAGAAACACAAATCCAAGATTTAAACTGTTTTGCCTACACTCCATTTCTTAATTTCAATATACCAGTTATGTTTTCTGCTAAGATGATCTTAATTTTTTTTTTCCATCTTGATATTAACAACTAGCAGCCTTTAAAGCTTCACAGATATATTAATAAACATCTAACTCCTAACAAGGGCAATACTAGAAGAAAATAATTTAAAAGTACCTTTAAAAATGACAGCACTACTGCTGATTGTTAATAAAGCACATTTAGCCTTGCAGAAGTGGGCAGGTATATTTTGAACTTTGTAGCAAAAGAAAAATGTCAACCACCTGAGATGTCTTAGCTGAGGGTGCAGCTCCTCAAGTAAGGAGTCTGACTGTAAGGAAATACTTTAAACTGGATAAAGCAATTACAGAGTGGGTAATAAGCATAGAAGATCCCAGGCTAAGTGAACTTCATCCTCCACAGGTCCTGTGCCCTACTAAAGCTCCTTCCTTGCCTACATGAGACAAGATATAAAATAATACCCCAAAATGAAAGCGCATATTGAGGAACTGTTTGTGCAGAGTTGCAACATAATAAGCACCATCATTAACCTGCCCATGGCAATGAGGTTGGAACTAGATCATCTTTAAAGTCCCTTCCAACTCCAACTATTCTATGAATCTATGATTAAAGGCATAGGGAATCAGAATAGATCAAACACACAATAACCATATGGTTTCAACACTTAAAGCTCATCTAGCACACTGAAGTAAGTTCAGAGGCAT